ATGTGCGTGCTTACAGGAATATCTGTGATAAATCAATTACCGGCACAGAATCTTCTACATCTTGACATGCAAATTTTTATCGCTTCCCGTCAAGCGGATTCCTACTTTATTTGAAGATTGCGAATCGCCTCTCTATTTTATATTCGCACAATATATCACTGTTTCATGTCGACAGTGCTTATCGCACTAATTGCGAAACAACGACGTCAGAGTTACAAGGTAACTTCGCGTGAGATACTGTCACGCAAGGCGTTGTTCAGGGAAATCAGAACACCATGAAGCTATCCAGGTGCATTTATAATTTTTTCCGGGCTCAACAATTGCCACATAATTAGTCCTATTTAAAATATCAATCACAATTCCTTGGAAATCCCTCATTATGACACGCGACGAAATTAATAGTCTCTCATGTAATATTAATTCTTTCTTATGTAAAATTGTCGAGTGAAAAAATTATAATTTGCCCACGATTGTCGTTTGACGTCGAGGAAAAATTATACGCGCTGTTTATCCGAAAAATATTATTCTTTCGTGCGACTTTTGCGAGCGATATACAAGTAGCTTTGATATCGCAAATTAGTCCCAAAGTCCACACCTTGGATTTAACGACCATGACAATTTTAATTATCAGACAATGCGCCGCATGAAAAGATAAAGTCGAGGAGCCCCTACGCTCCAGGTCGAGGCTCCCTCTCTCTTTCTCTCTTTCCCCAAGAAACCGGAGATAATTCGGCGATAACGATCTCGTAGAGAGTCCAGGATCCTCCGTGGTGTTCTGATTTCACTGACCGATAACGTTCCAGTATCTACCGTGCCGTAACAACGTGAGGAGATATCGCGAAGAAACTGAGAAGGTCGGACATTCTCGAGTCGAGCTCGCTGTCGATCGTAAGAGCTCGTCGTCTCTAATCGTCATGGAAGGATGATACTGAGAGAGACCGACGATCAGAGAAAGGAACGGGGGAGGAGGGAACAGGGGACAGAGAGAGAGCTTTGTAATGACGGGCGCCAGTCAACGTTGATCTTCAAACCAGACGGATGAGTGACCTTTTGGCTCCTCGACACCTCTTCTCTAACGCGCTAGAATTCCATACCTCCTATATAAAAGGGAAGGGGGAAGAGAATTAGGCTGATCTATCCAACGATAGGTCAAGGATTTCACATCCCAGCAGAAGATTGTGAATCCTTTCAGTCCCCCATCTCTCTTTTGTGTCTCTTATAGAGCTATAACGCATCGTTTATTACAGGTTGTAATTTGTAAATTGAATTGTACGTTTTTCTTTTAAATCTTGCGATCTTAAGTTGGGCAATTAAAACTGACGAGTAAATCTGCGCGTTCGTGTCCTAGGATGTCTCGCACCTGGCCAGTCGACCACGTCTGACGAAGGTCTGACCGATTCACGCGTAAAGTTAAATTCACATCACGCCGAGACGAGACAAGACGAGACGAGACGAGACAAGACGCACATCGTCCGTCGTTATCGCGCGCGAGCTAATAAAATTTCTCGACGAGAGCAGAAGCGCGATTGCACGCCGGAGAGAGCACCAATTATTGCGCTCGTTACTCGAGTTACAACAATGTTACCATAACTATATATAATTTGTAGCAACGTAATTAATAGCGCGCACGTGAGATAAGTGCACACATATATATAAGTGCAGAAGGACCTTGATGTAAAAAGGGCGATAAGACGCGCGCTTCATGAATAAGTTCCACTCATGACATCTACATCTCGTTAATGTCGGTTAAAATGCAACCGTATTCCCGATGATATCGAAGAGAGGAGGACTCACGGTCATCGGTCACGAGCCTTATACACGATTCCTCGCGATTCCCTCGGTTTCGATCGTCATGATCCGCCGATGACCGATGAGGCATCCGGAGGAACGAAATAACGCGTGGAAATAACTAGGCACACGAGATGAAGAATCTCTTCCTTTTCCTCGGTTCTCGGAACTCGTATCCCTGAACTTTCGTCCAGGCGTTTTCGCGTGCCGCACACAAGCCGCGCATAAATAATGCGCGCCGTAACGTCGTCCGTAGAGAGCGAAACGAGCGACGACGATTGTCCGTCCGGCGGCATCGATTTATGCGTGTACTTCGACCCGGCGTGACGTCGATGACGACAATCCCGCGAATGAACGACGGTGCGAACGGGCCTTAAACTCTTCCCGCGCTGCCATTTCCCATCGGTATGCATTCCCGTATGCGCGCGGGAAACACAGAAGACGAAAAAAAAATATATATATATTTTTTTTTTCACTTATAAGTTTTCCGTAATTTTTTGAATTTAAAAAAAATATATATATGTGAATTTTTTTATATATATAAAATTTTATAAAATTTTTATATATAAAATTTTATAAAATTTTATGTTATATAAAATATGTATATTTAAAGATTCGTAAATTTAAAAAAATATTTTTTTAAATTCTATTTTAATGTCATTTAAATAAAAAAAATACACACACACACACACATAAATATCTGCGCCACGTGACTGCATGCCACAGCTGCAGCCGTCGCTCTGCGCGACTTGCATCCGCAAGTTTGCGGATGCGACCGTCGCCTCCGTGGATTTTTAGCGCGGATTCTTGTCGCGAGTTTGACGCCTCGGCTCGACACGCGATAATTGAGCGACCAAAGGTGTCCCTAACGACGGCGATTTTTTTCAAGTATTTCATTTAAATGACGGAGAGTCGAGAGCGAGAGGAAAATATGAAAGAAAAACACATTTGTGACAATTGGTGCGTTAGGCGCTCAAGAATTACGAGAGGTCCTTAAACTTGGAACGCTATTAGCTCTCGATAAGAATTGCAATAACTTCCTTCACACGTGTCAAAACAACTTCAATTCGTCAAAACATAACTTTACTTTAATCATGCGTACACAGTTGGAAATATACATATATATATATACAATTTCTTGCAGTAATATTGATTTATTTCTTTTATATAATATCCCTGTGTATTCCAAGTATTAATAGTATCAATCCGCGAATGCCAATAGCAAAAAGATTCGTTACAGTTTTTTAAACTTTTTATAATAATTAAATGGCTAATATTGTAAATGCTATGAATGATTGACTCGAATCTTTTACTGTTTCATTTTAATAAAATGATATTAATTGACAAATACATGTCTCTATCTCTCCATGAATTGTGAAAAATCTTAAATAATATAAAATAAGATAAAAATAATAAACTATTTGTATAATTTTTACCTTAACTATTATATTTAATAAAAAAAAATGTAAATTTAACAATTCTCTCTCTCTCTTTCTTTCTCTATAAAAATATTAAAAATATTAAAAATTATGAAAGATGATTAAGAAATGACGTAAGGATAAAATTAAAGATGCAAAAAGATTGACAAATATTCAGGTTGAACAATTTTTTTTTTCTTTTCCTCGCTGTTTAAAGTGTCGTTGGAACGAAGCAAGTTCGCACGTCGAGAAACGTAATTTACGCAGAAGACTATTAACGATTGCACACGCGCAACTGCAAGTTTTCAAGATTGAATTACTTCGAAATGTTGATGACTAATTAGTGAACAGTGTAACGAAACACGAAAACGAGATATCTCGCCGGTCATACGTAACGTGTAACGTCGAACTCGCCGACCCAGAAGCTCGAGCTTTATAATTGTAAACGCTATAATACATTATTAACGTTTTAATTATGTGCGCCGCGCTCAATAGTTTAACATAAACACCCGCCTCACAGTTCTAATGTTTTGTTCGACTCGTATTCTCGTTACATTTGTTTAATTTCATTAAAAGATCAACTGTCGTTTATGCGAGCTATTCCGTTATTAATCATGAATTCATGATTTATAAGTCTATAATTTAATTGAAATTCCGTTTTACTCGTGTAATAATCAGTTATGCTTTTCGTGTCTGCGTGATGATGACTTTATTTTCCTCCAAAGATCATATAATGCGATATAATCATAAAATTTTTAAGTTTTTACGACGTGCGTATGCAATTTATGTAAATAGATTTGATTCCCGTTGAAAGAGACATTTCATGTGTACTTATTATTATCCTTTCTTTATCATCTAGATAGAAGCTCCTTCTTATCAACGATAAAGCGTAATTCCAGGTTACTTGAGATATACTCATTGTTTCCATTAATTAAAAAAATAAGAATTTATGAGTAACATCTTGACGATCGGGGGACCATCAACGGAAATTATATAAGGATTAATCGACGAAAGATGGTCAGCCTAATAATTGAAAATTATTAAAAGCTCATGATTTATAAAGTGCGTTGAAAGAAAAAAAAAATATTAAATAAAATAGAGTCGCTTCCGAAGGCTAAAGGCTTCGCCGTCTGAAACGTCCGTTCGTAATGTAATCGCGACGTGAATCATCAAAAAAATCGTTACGTGCGCACGAATTCCTGCCGGATGAATTCTCGCAGGTCTAACCTTCGCACTGTCGCGTGTCACAATTGTTTCCATACAGAACGGAAGTTTTTATACCACTGTAAACGTGACTCTCCCGGTGAGAGACTTGGGCCTCGCATGGCTCGCGCACTCTTAGCCCGGGAACTTAACTCGGATTACCCGTGATAAAAATCGCGCGCTTCTTGCATTAAATGAAATTCTCGACTCGAGGAAGGAACGCGTAGACTTTTTTAGCGTTTTTATCGCGCGTTTCGCGTGAGTCATCGTTTTCGGAAAATTTTATTGCGCATTTGCGCCAAGACGAAAAACAAGGACGAACGACCGACGATGAGATAAGGCTGTGAGTTATTATAGAGAAGAATAATTAATACGAAATTAACTTGTCGATACGGACTTTAATATCTTCCCGGGTCGTTTGCGTATCGGTTCACGAATTATCTCGGAGGCCACGCGTGGCCTCATGAAATCTTCAAAGATTAGAGAACTTGGGAGGAGTCGCAAGTCGCGATCTCTCATCCTCGAGAAGAGCGACTTCTTCTAGAGCTAGAAGCTAAAGCATTCGCGTAGGAAAAAGCGTCCTTCGCTTACCTTCCAGCCGGCGCTACTGTTGTTATCACCCTTGTCCTTGAAGTAGGAGACATTCTGGACCATCCACTCGTAGATCTGCGAGAGAGTGAGCCGCTGATCGGGCGCGCTGGTGATGGCCTGGGTGATGAGGTCGGCGTAGCTGAGGTTGCCCCAGGCGTTCCTCCTCGACGAGTTCTTCTTCACCGTCAGGAGACCGCCCTGGGACAGCTGCGTCTGATGGGGTGGCGTGCCACCCTCGGCGCCCTCTTTGGCGGTGGGCGCGTTGCCCTCCACGTATCCCTCGGGTCGCGGCAACGGCCAGGTGTTGGAGCGCGCTCTGGTCTGCGGCTCGAAGCCGGTCTCCAGGTCCGGCGACGTCGAGAACTCAAAGGAGACCCCCTTCTTCTGCGCCTGCTGCTGCTGCTGTTGCTGTTGCTGCGACGGGGTCATCGACCCCGTAGCCGAGACCGGAACCGAATCCATCATATTGCGCTCCGGTGGGAATCCGATCGGGATCCGGGACGCTCGAGACTGCAGCGAGATAGATCGACACCGAGGGAGCTGGTCCGCGCGCGAGGGGAACGATCCAGATTGCGTTTCGGTCGCACTATCACTCTAGATATACATATATGTACGTGGCCTTCGTACGTCCTCGGCGCTCGTTTCGAGTCAACTTAATGCGCGTTGCCGCTACTTGTTCTCTCACTGGGATTCCTCAACACATCACCACCGAAGGAACCGATCGGGCGACCGGGATCGGCCACAATGGAAGGCGCGGATCGGAGCCGAGCGACGAGTTCGCGGGGAGCGGTCGTGCTCTCGATCGTGCCCTCACGTGCGACTGGCGGCGGCGATGAACCAACTGAGGATTCCGGTGTTCTGCGCGCGAGAGAGTCGTAGAAGGAGAAGCACGGCGACGGCGACGATGACGGCGATAACGACGACAGCGGGAGGAGAAACTTGCGAGCGAGCGAGCGAGCGAGCGAAAGAGAGAGAGAGAGCGAGAGCGAGAGGCAGAGAGAGACGGTAGAGTGGAAGCAGCGGTGCGAAGAGAGAGAAACGACGATAGGCGCGCGACGTGGCGGAGAGAGGGAGCAGACCACGTGGTCAAACTCTGTGTTTACAAGCCGTGCCGTCCGGGGGTCACGTGGCCATGTTTTGATAGGAACTTGGCCCGCCAGCACGAGCGAGCGAGTCTACTCTTCTACGTCGTCACTGACGATGATGGCTGCTGATCGCGGCGTGATCCTCCCCGTGTCCGACAGGCGACGCGATTTTCGCTCGAGCTCGCCGATGGCGTGATCGCGTTGACGGTGACCTTTGCTGGCCTCGTTTCCCTCGATGGATCGTTTTCCTCGGTATCTCTCATCGATCACCCTCGAATCCGCGGATCGAGCCGGCGAGCCTGTCGCGCTCAGCGTGGGCGGATACCTCGCGAGCTCGATCTCGATCTCGCGCTTCTCGTACACGTGGCGAATCCTCGGGGAGACGATGCGTGAGACGACGGTCGTCGGCGTCTCTCCCTCGCTCGGCGAAAAAGGAGGAGGAGGATACCCGCTAGATCGTTCGCACTGCGACTCGAAGGAACGACGACTACTCGCACTTTCGCAGAGATGAGAGGAAAGGAAACCTATACCACTACGTACAACTTGCCGGCAAGGCAGCGCGGCGCATACTGGCGAATTCCTCCGGCCGGCGCTCGGGACCGACCGAGTGGAGCCGAAGTCGCGAGAAGCGAATTCGCGACGCCTGTCGCCGCACTTTGGCGCGCCGATCGCCGACAGCGTGACACGCGAGAGCGAGGGAGAGCGAGGGCGATGGCGAGAGAGAGACGCGGAGGGCGTGGGTGCGACAAGGAGGGCCGAGGGAACGCTCTCGCAGCGCGAAAGAGAGACGCGCGAAGGGTACTCGAGAGTGGCGTAGAACTAGGTGGGTGGCTCGCCGACTTGGTAGGGACAAGAAAGCCGGGGTGGGAAGCCGACGGTATAGTGGGGGAGGGAGAGAAGGACGAGTAGGAGCGAGAGAGACGGCTACAGGTTGCAACTTTGTGCAACGAGAGAGGGGGCGAGCGATGAGAAAGAGAAGGAGCGAGACGGAATCGTTCGTGGGAATCTACGGGGAAGGGTGGAAGTAGAATGAACGGGGAGACGCGACGCGAGGGAGGGTTGGAGAGTGCAGCGCGCGAGAGTCGCATCTAACGGGTGGGCGGGAAAAGGGGTATATACGCCGTGTACCCCTCCTTCGGGGGGGTTTAGGTATCGGCGCTGCGCACAGAACCCACGAGGAAGGGAATTCGCACGCGGTGCATCTCCTGCCCCTCGCCCCTCGCCCCACTTCGCCCCATCCCACCACTTCTCCGCGCACTCTTCCTCCCAACCCCCGTTTTCTCTCCTTCTCCTCCTCCTCCGATGGTTTCTACGACTCGATTTTGCGGCAACCCTTCCGGTACTTTTTCGTATCGCTGTCCTGCGACTTGTAGAATCCGAAGATTCCCAAACGAACGGCCGATCGAAATAACTCGGCTGTTGTTTTCGGTCTGCGTGCCTATCGAATGGTACAGCATCCTCCGAAAGCCCCCGTGGAACATTCCTGAATACGGCTCGGGAACATTGTTGCATCTCGCAATCGAAGGCGAATTCTTCGTCGCCGAAATATTTCAGGCGACTCGATACATCCTCGGCTCCCTTTCGCAGCTAATAAAATCCCGAATATCGTCTTTACGAAGATATCCTTCTCGCGTTATCTTCTCTTCTACTTAAAATTACGTACATTGGAGAAAAGAAAAGAATAAAAGATATTACACAAGATAGCACACACACAAAATTTTGCACAAAGTTGCCCACGATATTAGATACGAGTTATTCTTATATTCAAGTAATGAATGTTTTTTTTTTTAATTTAAATCTCACAAAGAATTTCTAAAAAAATTTCGAGCAATTTAAAAAGCATGTAATTTTTTAATAATTTTAAATTATATTAAATTATATTAATATTTTCATTCTTTTTAAAAGAGAGAGTCTTTTTCAAAAGAAACTTTTTTTCAAAGTCAGCTGTACGACTTTTGTATCTTTGTTTCCAAGAGATATAAAAGATACAAAAGCTCGTACAGTAGAATTTAAAAAAAATTCTTTTCGAAAAGAATTCTCTCTTTTAAAAAGAAATTAAAATATTAATATAATTATTCTTTTTGAAAATAACTCTCTCTTTTAAGAAGAAACGAAAATATAATTGTTTCCAAGAGATACAAGTGATCGTACAACGGAATTTGAAAAAAGTTCTTTTTGAAAATTCACACGTACTTTTTGATACACATATTTCATCGACGTACTTTGAAATGGATACAACATGGGGTTGGGGGCAATAAAAAGCTGTTGGGTTGCTCGTCGATTAAGTACACTTTCTGTCACAACAGATTCCTCGGCTCTTTTTGCGCGCTCTTAATTATCCCTCGATATACAATGTTGTGGAGCCGAATAACTTTGTGGAACCCTTCGCTCAGAGTAGTTCTGTCCTTCAATTCGGCCATTGTCCGAGGCCTGTTGACAATGTAAACCCCGCGCACAGGAGATATATTCCCCCCTTCGTGCCCCTATCCGTTTCGTAAAAAGAAGTCGGTAGAAAAGGAAGCAGGTAAACTCGGCTATTGCAACCCGGTTGAAACAAGAAACGCCTGGTTACGTCCCAAACAAAGTTGCGCGCGTATCCGCGTATTCGTCCTGTCGTCCTGTGTGGGCAGTCGCGAGGCAAACGCGATCCTGGCTAACTTAAGGGGCGCTGTCACCGCGTGTAATTATGCACTCTGAACCTTCGATTGTCCGGCGGATATCCCATTGGAGCACCCATTGCTCAATGTTGTTTGCGCATGAGCTAAAAACAGCGTGCCTCGTAGCTCACCCCGTTCGTGTATAAGGCGCGCGAACACGCCGGGAGCTAAAAATAGAAGACGAATGGGATCCTTAAGGACTACATCGAATAATCGTACAAACAGTGTTCAAATCGCACAATTTCGAGAGCATCGCGGTGCAGTTTAGCGCGATTGTAAATTGTACTTATTAACGATTCTGTCGGTCGGTCTCGTTCGAGAGATTTACGCTGACGATAAATCGCTATATACGATAATCTCCGACGCACCAATCTGAAGGAGGAACGAGATAATAAGTGGAAAACCTAATGAAAGTAAAATCAAATTCGGAGAACGGTCAACAAAGTTCGAGGAAAATTATAATGTCATAATATGTACGATAAAGTCTCATCAGCTGATTGTGTATTAATTCGTTTTTAATTCGTATTTTTTAAGATATAACAGGAATCTTTTTTCATATAACTATAATAAGATTAAAAAACACATCAATATATTATATTATACGCATATAATATTTAAACATTTCAGATGACGTCTAAAATTTAAAAAGAAAAGAGATCGAATTTGTAAAAATCGAAATATAAATTTTCTTATAAATTGTACATGTGTGATTCGTGCTAAGTGTCAACGTCCAGTAGGAAATTTATATCGACACAAAGTAGTAACAATTGGATAAAAAAAGCAAAACGACTAAAATCTCTCTGCAAACTCTTGAGTTTTTATTTCGACTGTACTTTTTCGTGGAAGCCGTTTGATTCATGCCGATCACTAAGCATGCATCTCTTTCGCGAAGAACTGAGATACGCGCAGGATAATAAAGAACTAAGAAACACGATTTTAGCATCCTTAAGTAGTCCGCAGTCTAATCATTTTCGAGCAGCGTCCTGATAAAACCCCGCCAAAAAAGCACATAAAAAACATACAAGCTGTTTACTTCGAAAACGACATAGCATTCGATCCTTTAAATCTTTTTAAATCGATACATTGTGGTGGATACACATGATATGTATATAATCTTATCCTATCTTACTTTCAGATTCATCGGTCCGAATGAACATCAAACATAGCCAATTGATTTCGCGTTTCATACGGTGTTTCAACTTGTTTTCAGTAACATAAATGTCACAGATTCCTACATTTTTTAATTCATTCTCACGTTCAACATTGCGTCTATCTGATTCTCACCTCGTATCGTGATACAAGCGTGTAAATGTACAAATAAAATTCAGAATTAAAATCAAATGGCTATTAACTGAGGCGTCAAAAATGTACAGGGGGTGCGTATGAAAAATTCACTCGAATTCTACAATATCAGGACATTCCCTGTAATTTGTACGACATCTGTTACTCGGATCGCGCGGTAATATCCTTTGAGATTTCCCGTTAAAATCCATAAAATTCGATCGCCGGCGCGTTTTACGGGCGATCGCTTCTCCCAAAGAAAGATAGATCCCCGAGCGAGTCATCCCCGGGACGCGCTAAGAGCGGGACTTTATCGTGTGAAATTGCACATGCCGGACAAATTAAGGCGAAAGCGAAAGAAAGCGCCGGTAATCCTCCGCCCATTACACATCGACCCACCTAAGGATACGTAAGTTTGGACTATCAATTACGTCGGGCCAATTCCGGCGCTTACTTTACGCCGAATCGAATCCGACCCTGCCCGCTAAATTTGTTACGCTAACGAGCGTTGCGCTCGTCGAGTTGTTACCGCCGCTGTAACTTTTTGTTTAGTCGGCTATGAAAATAAAACGCGAATTACGACGTTCGTTAACTCGATCGGCGGCGGCTATCACGGATCGATAGTTCGCGTATTCAGGCCACGTCTCGCTAAGTTAGGATAGCGCGGGGCCGCTTTCATGAAACTTCCACGAGGATGGACATGTAATTGGACCGTGTGTATTTGTTATTCTACGCGATTAATGTGAAATATAAAGAAGCTCGCGCACGTACTCGGCTCTTTTTGAATATTTTTATCCCTGTGGGCGTGTATTGTAGTCATTGATGGGGATATCCGGTTCACATTCTAAAACGGTTCGCGAAGAATGTCACTCGGACATTCGAGCTTTTATCGTATCAGGATTTGATATTATCAATTTCCGCTATGATACGGATGTGTCATATATTTCGTCAACTATCGCTCGCTCGTTCACTTACATTGTTTACATCGGTTTTTATTATTTTTTTTTTTTAAGAGACATCTAGATCGAATATCTCGCATTGATTGAAAGGATTGGAAGGAAAGAAGATTTTAAACAACTTTAATATATAAAATACTTTTTAAAAAACTCTCCTCTTCTTAATTTCTTTTTATAAATTTAATATTAATCTTGTACGTTTTTATATAAATGTATAAAACAAAATTAATTTCTCTTTTTCAAATAAAAAAACTATACACATACATATGTGTACGTGTGTGTGTGTGTGTGTTACCTTTATTACATCTGTTTTTCCTAAAACTTTTTTATTTTCACGAGAAGCGCAACTCTCTGGCACATTGCTAAAGATCAGCTTAAATTTCGAACGACACACTTACGATTAGTGTGTAACATATCGACGGAACCTGTTCGATGATAAGATCCTTCGTTCACTTTTCTCGACAATTCAGTTTCAGTCCCAACACTCCTAAGAATGTGTAGCTTCCGAAGATCCTGTGGTTCCATGGTTCCTACGTTATTCATTGTTGGTTAAGCCAACAGGATACAGAAACTCCCTTCATGTTTTTACATTAATATTCTATTACTTGCATATTTCGTTAATTTATTCATTCATATCCTTTGATATTTTATTTTTCTGTTACAGATTTCAAATCCGATTCAATACCGTAACGACAGTAGATACCGTCACCCAGCCAGACGATGGTCGGCAGATGGCGATGACGGCACGTCGAGCTGTCGGACGGTTGGCAAAGGCGGCTTTCGCACGCTCGCTTGAATGGGAGAACCAGCCGGCTGGTCGGCGACTGGTTGCCAGACCGGCCGGCACTTCGCGTACCATCGTCGCGGCGCGCGGTACGTTCCACCAACGTGCTCCACCGTCGTTTCACCTACCCGCGTTCTCCGAATACCTACCTGGAGCCATACGCGCGAGGGAAATCGGCGCGAAAGAATCCCTCGCGGTTCGGAAGGATCCGCCGCGATGATGCCGCGCGCGCACCATCTCCGGGATCCAAGGGTCTGCTCGATGATCGCGCGCGAATCCTGATCGAATCGAGTTCTCGCGGTGCGAGAGTGCGCGGAGTGAAAGTGCCGAGAGGGTAAAAAAAAAAAGAAAGGAAGAAGGAAAGAAACGAGTCGACGCGACAGAGAGGAATATAAGAGGTTGAAAAGTGACGGGGATACCTGTGAACCGGGTCGGCATGGAGTCGCGCCGTAGTCGGCACGTCGGAACCGCGGCAGGATCCCGCCGATCTCGCGGAACGGCGTGCGACGACGACGCGGTGCCCCGGTGATGAGGGAGACCCGAGGCTAGAGTGTGTTATGCGCGAGTGTGGCTCACCGGTTGCGGGAGCAAGCAGCAGGTCGTCGTCGTGATGCCGTTTGTGATGCGAAAAGTGGAGCCGCGGCACCTGTGCCGCGGCCACGTGCCGGGGGATTCGCAGCCGGGTTGGCCGGTGGGCGCCGAGCTCGAGGCGGTGGCGAACGGTGCCCTCACCAGCTCCCTCAAGCAGCTGGCCTCTCTGCTGACCATCGCGGAGGACATCTTCGCGGGCCTCACCGCCGAGCTGGGCCAGGTAGCCGAGAGGAGCGGTCACCTGCGTCACAAGATCGACAAGATCGAGGAGCGACTCGGCAGCGTCGATCCCAAGAAAGTACCAGTCCGTGAGTATCAGTTCTGGATGTTTGATTTTTTCCATCTCTTAAGATTAAGGGTAGGTGGGCTCGTAAGCGCTCGTAAGCGTAAGATGATGATTAATAATCACGATTTTGAGAGATGAAATCGCTCGATTGTCTTAGATCTTGATGACAGCGATCGTCAAGATTCAAAAAGGATAAGATAACTAGAATTTTGGTTGTCATTGTGTGCGTGTGTATCATTAGCGACATGGAAATTCTGCTTCAGGTTGAATATAATTAGGAAATTGCTGGGGAATATAAGGCTCTTACGTTCAAATTGCTCCAGTTACATAAGACAGTTCTCGATGATTACGATATTTTTCCGCGTCCTACGTAAGATCCGAGGCAATTTCTTATATTTACATTTTGATACATTGCTGTCGTTAGGCTTGATCGATAAGCAGTCTACGGACAATAAAGAGTTATTGGAGCTTTGTATTTAATCTCTATTTTTTTAGATTTCTTTCAACAAAAAATTTAACGAAATAATTATTTTCGCGAATCAATTCTTCTCTTTCTTTCTTGATGTCGAATGTAACGTATTAATGTTATGACGTTACCTTTGGCACTTTCTCTATCCATCGAAAGGACAACATTCCATCTCAATTTCACGCAGAATAGTGGGGATAAAACGAGGAAAAAGCAGCGGAAAAGATTGAGATGATGGAGAGAAGAAATGCGGTGAAGAGGTTCACTTTGTGGGGAAAACATTCCCGGGGGTTACCTGGCCTATGCACCGTGGGAAACGGATCGCAAGAAGGTGCCGAAAGCGAGTTTCATTCGAGCAGAGAAGATTAAGCCCCGGGTGTTGTTGTACCGGTACAAAGAATCTCTTATTCTTCGGCGTTCTTTTTGATTTTAAACGTTTTCTACGGAGGCAAGAAATAGGGTACCATATAAAGACGTAGCTACGAGAGTCGAAGTTAATGAGTCCCTTGAAACTATTTTGGTCCACCTTCAAGGGTGTAATGAAGGATAGATAGCGCGCGAGATGAGAGTAAATGTTTTATTGTGGAATGTGACGTCTTTAATCGCGCATCTAAAAATTAAAGGAGAAAAAAAACATACATGACTAGATTATCAATTTAAAGTATCGACTTTAGTTAATCTCCAGAAATTCTTCTAGTAGACTAAATTAAGGAATTCATGGGATAATCAATAAACAATGTACACACAATACATAAACATAAGGACGAAAAATAAAAATAAAGACGTAGAAATACAGAACGAAAAAATTGATTTAACATAAACTGCTTTATTTTCTCTGCTAAAGAAAAGAATTTAAATAGTTAATTTAAATAGAAGTGAAGAATTTAAATTTTTTTCGACGCAGTAAATTCTTCTACAAGCATAGTTTTTTGTGCGACAAGATTAAAATTCTTTTTCCTACACTGGATGAGTGTGCTTTATACTTAAAAGTATTTTGATATAAAAAAAGAATAGGATTTTTTTTAAAGGTCAACTAACAGAATTGTTTAGTTTAGAGTCCGCTCCTTCCGAGGTCCGTTATGTTAAATAATCGTAAAATCAAAGAAACCACGATTTTATCACCACGTGTAATAGTGGCATGTTTTCTTTTCGAAATCAATGCCAACTACTCAGAAAGCGTGTCAACACATTTTAATTTATTTCTCTATTCCACGGATACAATAATAGACGATTTCAAACAGAAACTAAAAGAATCACTATCTTTGAAGCACTTTTTATTCTGAGAATATTCTTTTGACATTACATCATGGAGAAATTAGAATCCATTGTTTAAAACACATTTTATATTAATGCATTGTAATTCATGAATCGATTCGCGAAGATTATATAAAATTGCTCCGATTCATTTTGATATATTTAATTTAAAAAGGTCGATCCGTTCAATCTAAAAAAATTGCACAGCCGAATGTCGTAGTTTGCCTGTTTATAAGAAAGTACTCGAAATGAAGTGAATGAATATTCACTCTATGGCTTCCACGGGCAAACAGCTGAGGCTTCTTCCTTCTTTCTTCGGCCGAGAGGGAGCTTCTTTTACCCTAGGGAATCGGCCGTTCGAGGATGCCCGTAGGAAAGAACCCACGCTTTTTTCCAACCTCCTATGCCGTTAGTCCTTAGGTTTCTGCAAAGGCGCTGCCAGCTAAGACAGCTGACTCAGGTAATCGCCGGCACAAACGGCACCGGGCTTCGGAGTCTTCTCCATAGGGCGGTGAGAACTTTAATTCCCAAGGGATGGAACGGGCTCCCGACGCCGCCGGGAAGAGACAGATAAAATAACGTCTGCCAGATGTAATGTAACACCAGTGCGTTTCGAATATATTCGATTCGACGAGGAAAAAATATACGCATAAATCTTTAAAAAATGAGGGAAAGATGTACACGTGAATCTTTAAATTTTAACCTTGTACAATCAAGGAGAGCCCTCTTTCTCTCCCTCATCGATTGCAAGATATTAAAATTTAATTTTAGAGATTTGTGTGTTTTTCTAACAGAGGGGATTTTAATTTTCGTATGAAATGATTTTGATGTTGTCGTAAAAATCAATAAAATCAATGTAGCACATTTTCGATTGCATTATTTATACTCGTATATATAGGATTATATATACGCTTTGCAGGATTATTAAGACATCATTGCGTGATTAATAAATTATTACGTCCGCTAGATAATATTCCTATGCGCCGCCGACGTATAACTTCTCCCCAAGCTACACGAGAGCCGCGAGCAGCGTGGTTGAAAGTATAGTTAGCCTTGAACCTTGAGGCTCAAGTATCTCGCCAGGGATATCGCAAATCCTGGCGAAATCAGAATTTATATTCCCGGGGGACACTGGGTCGAGAGAGAAAAAGAGAGGAAAGCAAAATATTGACGAAAATATATCATTTACGTTGCTAGTTTGCATACAATACATTAAATAGAGTCTTACATAGATAATACTTTAATCATAAATTCACAAAATAATTAAAAATAGCATTATTTATAAATAAATGCTCATAAAATTATTTGGTAAAGAAACATGAAAAGAGTAAAATTGTCAATTGTATGTTTATTTATCTTTTATCAAACAAATAAAACTGCCATTTCAGGATTTAAGAAATTAATCGAGAATTAATAGAAACAAGATGCATAAATTTTTACTCTGATAATTTAAACGAATACAACGTTTATGTCGATGAGATCTGTGAGACGAATGTTTATAAAAATCTAGGATTAATTTTGGTAATCTAATATCATTAATGTGGTTTTGCAATATTGTTGAGAGGACAGCAGTCGACTGGCTTCTGCGGAAATGACGCGCAGGATGTGGTTCGACCTGGTCGAGCAGGTTCACGATGTGTTACGAACGAGAGAGAGCGGTTAGTTTGATGGGCTTCCCATCGAAAATGATGCACTTTTATTCCTTTTTATTCCTCGTTGCATCGACAGTAAAGCTGCTCTTTGCCTTCTTTTAGATTTTTTTACGCGAAAAACTCTTTGACTTTTATTGGCAACACTTTTCTTTCACTCCTTTCAACACTGTGTTTAAGAGTACAGCGCGATGATTTGTTTTCGTTATGATATTAATGATTTACTCTTCTATAAATGAAATACTTATTTAAAGGATGAGGTTTACTTTCGCGTGTTAATAGCTAGTTTATCGTACAAGTACGCGAAACACTAAAAGCTCGCCGTCTTCCCTCTTGAATAAATACACTGATATTTCAAATTTACTGTCGCTCCCCCCTTCAGACAAATATTTACGAGATCCTTGTAATCGAGCCCTCGCTACCTGCTGAAATCATCATGTTTGAATGCATTCATAGGCACGTCGCGGCACATTTTCGTTATCATGGAAAATTCATGATAAAGGAAAATTTATAGCTGCGATTTATTCGTTCGATAAAAAAATATGCGGTTTAGTGTCGTTTGTAAAATCGATACAATATTTTATGCAAATTAAATTATAAATATAATATGACCGAGAAAAGAAATATAATAATTTTTGGAGTTTCTCTGAAAAATATGTAATTTTTAATTCTGTGAAAAAATAGAACTTTCAACATAATTTTTTCAAAATTATTATCTCTTGAAAAATATCACGATCGTTATATAATTTTACTTTACTTTTTTAATTTTATAGTGGAACGTTAAATTTTATATCATCACTATTACTTGATAGTTCGAGAATTTCCCGCGTCAGCTGTTTCACTCGTTTGGAATTTTTACACACTTTTTCCCTTTCGCCCCGTGAAACCCCTGCTGGATATCAAGCAAGGACCCCCGTGCACGAATAATAACGACGGAAATAAAAGTGGGCCGCAACGGTCCTCGACTGCAGGCCCCATCTCCGGTTTTTCACCACCCCTCGTTGTTGCCTCCTTTATTTCCTCGCCCGGCTTCTTACACTTACTTCCGGTTGCCAGCTGGCATCGAAGGGCAGGAGGGAGCTCATCGAGCGACGACGGAGGGTAAGCACGAGAGCAGGGCAGAGACACTTTCGCTTAATTTTAGCTGACTTGACACCGAGGCACGTGTTTCGAATAAAACTGCTCTTTGCGTTAAAGTATATCGCTATGAAACAAGTTTGTTCCTGGCGATAAGATTTACTCGCCACCATAGATGTCTGCGAAATATATTAAAGTGTAATAAAATTTCGTCGAAAAGTAACTGAAACTTGATGAGTCGGACAAAACCACATAGAACAATTTGTAAATATATATAAGAGGCCTCATATTATTTGTTATTTATATTATCGATAAGTGTATTTACTTAAATCGTTATCTTTTAAGTATTTAGTTGCTTTCAAACATCAAATATTTAATTGCCAAACATCACACGTGAAAAATTTATTTGATTAAAAATTAAGTGAGAAAGACTTTGAATGATTGTATGATTAAATTAATGTTTCTACGCGGTGTGATATATTTTTACGACGCGGTGTGATATATTTTTACGACGCACTTGATATCGAAATGCATATGTGTCGCCGCGATCGATGGCATTTAATCGCGATTATCCTT